GGATCTGAATGTCCATATTGTGAGGATGAACAGAACACACACGTGAACCGTGTGAAACAGCGGAGTGCTAGCGGGAAGTGAGGCTCGACTTCACATCTGTACCGCCCACCCACAACCGAGGGTGCCTTGTTGACCCTTGGCCACACTCTCTTCTGAGCTCTACCTGCCACAGAGCCGTGAGTCTTCTGGTGGGGACAGAAATACGGACAATGCATAGATGAGATGACCTGTTTGGCCCACGTAAGAGGTGTCCCTGCAGGAGTACTGGCCCAAGGCACCTACCTGCCCAGTGGCCTCTGCTATCCCTGCACATACACTTCAGAAGTTTCCAGAGTGCCAGCCATGGGCCTGGCACCAGGGAAGTAGGGAGAGTCAGACAGCTGGGACCAGGCCTTGCCCTCCGATACTGCTTCTTACCTTTTCCTCCAGTCCCATCCCACCTGAGCGCTGGCAGCACGTGCGGAGTCTCAGAGCCCGACTCATTACGTGACCGGTTACTATGGTCTCTGAGCACTGACGGCACACCAGTGACTATGCCAGAGCCTTTCACATGTGACTGTCCGTCTGTTACTCCACGAGTGTTCATTACCCCAGCTTACAGACAAGACCATCAGGACAAGACGGCACAACCAAAGGGACACCCAATGAAGGACAGTGCAGGGACTGGAGCCCAGATCTGAGTAACTCCAAAGCTGGCTCTGCCCTGATGCTTTCTTAGTGTCTTCTTCAGATCTGACACTCTGGCGGGATGGATGTTGCCATGGGAAACGTTTTGCTTTAGGAGCCCAAGGTGAGAGGGGAAGCCGGAGAACCTTCCCCCTAAGTTGCTCAGTAGGAAGGTCCCCAGTGTGCCGCACACTGCGCTGAGCAGATACCCACACGGAGTCCTGGAAGGGTCTGTGACTGCGCTGCCTTCCAGGGGAGGCTTGGCTGAGCTGGTGGGTGTCAACTGAATACTGGTGAAGCTACAAGGGGTTCAGGGATCCAAAACAGGGACAGGTCACTGTTAGCTGAATACAGTGCCGTACTGCGTCTCAAGTGCAGGACCAGGAGGGAAAGGAGAGCCTGCTTGCAGGGAATGCTGGGACAGTACACTGCCTGTGAAGGAGAATGGAGTCGGGGATCTGGCACTTACCTGGATGACCAGACAGTAAGCAGGAAACAGAAAAAGGTTACAAACCATCTCAGGTCAGACAGCTGGGTTCAAGTTTTAGCTGCGCTCACGGCCACCGTGACTTCTCTGGTTTCCCCATCAGTCACCTGGGGGCGTTAGCCTCTATAGCACAGTGTGCACTTGGATTTTATGTAATAGGAAATCTTTTTTTTTTTTTTTTTGGAGCTGAGGACTGAACCCAGGACATTGTGTTTGCTAGGCAAGCGCTCTACCACTGAGCTAAATCACAGACCCCTGTAATGGGAATCTTAAAAGGTCCAGTATCCATTGTGTGGTAAGCACTTAACACCAATTACTAATGATGAGAATATTTTTGTGTGCGGGTACACACGTATCACATGTATGTGTGTACATGTGAAGGTCAGGGGTCAATGTTGGTGTCTTCCTTAGTCACTTCTCCGCCGTTTAAGACAGGTCACTCACTGAACCTGGTGCTCAGATTGGCTATATACAAGCTAGGCACCAAGCCCCAGGATCCTATTTCCACCTCCCTGGCACTGAGATAACATAAGGGCTGAGGATCTGAACTCACGTTCATGTTTGCACGGCAAACACCCTGCTGGGTTATCTCCCCAGACAACAATGAGAGTATTTCTTAAAAAAACAAACAAACAAACAAAAAACAAGCACCTCCCCAAGACAAATAAATGAAAACTACCCATCTGTAGCTCTTACGGCTTTAGTCTAGGCTGGCATGGTATTCTCGAGCTCGTGCGTGTCTGGTGTGTGGTCCCTTCCAGCTAACTAGTGGAAGTTTCCCAGGCACAGAAGCCATGCATCTTTTCAGCCTCATCCCAGATGTCCAGTGCATGTGTGTGGGATCAGTCACTCCCAGGATCCCTGGTCTAACAGAGCCATGTGGTCAGACCCCTGGCGGGCCAGACTAACTGCCTAAATGCTTGCACGTGTGCACTTGAGCAAGGTTACTGTCATCTTTGCCCTTGAAGGGGTCACAATTGGTGAGGGAGGCCTGAAGTCACCCTGTGACAATCTCATATTCTCACGGATCCAAGCTCACCTGCGCGCCATTTTACAACTTTCTCCCCACATGCCACAGGGACATGAACACAGCCACCCTGTTCCTTAGCTGCAGCCCCTGGGCTCTGAGGCAGCTCCAATGCTGGCCTTGAGGGTCCGCTTCTGTCCTGACGTTGCCTGGATCAGGCACTTCTATCCTGCACAGGATGAAAAGCTGCTGGGCCCCGTGCCCAGGGCTCTTCCCCACCCAGTCCATTTTTATCAGACCCTCCTGATGGCAGGACTACGAAATCTCTCCTGGAAAGGCCTGCGGGTCCCTGGACTGACCTTGTCCGGATGTGTTTGATCAGCTGTCCCTGGCCTGCGCTGGGGGAACCCGGTGCAAGAAGAATGGCAGGCATGCTGTTTGATCAGAGCAGCTGGGGAGCTCAGGCTAGCTTGCTCAGCCTTCTGCTAATCTCATCTCGGAGGACAAAGAAAGGAGGATGTTCCCACAGCCTCTCCCACAGGTATTTATGGGAGCAGCCTTGCCAGAGATGTGAAGCAGAGCTGGGGAAAAGGCAGCAAGCAGAGTATGGGTCCCCTTTGTTCCTAGAGAAACAGTTTGTCAGGTTTGGTTCCTTCCTCAAGGCTCAGAGTCCAGCAGGGATGGAGCTGCAGAACTGCGGCAAAATCTAACTTCTGCTGCCAGGAGTTTCCACTGTGCGGCGGCGGCAGCTGGGGAGGAAAGCCGGGCAAATCCCACCTCCGTGGGACTCCAGCAGCACTCGCCCCAGGCCAAGCTGCAGATGTGCTGAGAGCAGGGAGGAACGGATAGAATTATAGTACGTGCCACCCGTGGGAAACATTTCCCGCAGGACATGGGGGCACAAGCCCTATCCCTGCTCAACACAGTGTGCCTGGGCTGAGCTCCATCTCCAGCGGCAAGCAACACCTAAGCGCCCAGTGAGTATACTGTCCATGACCAGTTCTGCAGACACACACGCCATAGTTGATGTGGGACTTATGTTCTGATAGCACTTAGCGAGGGAGCCAAGAGATGCAGAGACAGGGGAGCATGGTGTCTGCACATCCTAGATGCCTCTTCTCAGAGAATCCTTGAGTTCTAGGCTCCCCCAAGCCATAGTGGTGATATCCCCCCAGTACCTCATTACCTCCCATTTTCCTCTTTGTGTTTTGAGACAGGGTCTCATTATGTAGCTGGCTGGTCTCAAACTCAGAACTCAGAGATACTCCTGAGTGCTGGGGTTAAGGAGCGAGCTACCTCGGCCGGAATTTGTTTGTTTGTTTGTTTGTTTGAGGTAAGATCTTGCCAAGTAGCCACAGCTGACCTCCAGTTGCTCTGTGGTCCAGGCAGGCTTCTAACTGACAATCTGCCTGTTTCTTCCTAGGAAGGCTGGGATTATAAGGCTCATATCATCACACTAGTCTGCTTGTCTTTTTTCCACCCAAGGACATCCATGATCACAGGCTCACAGAGAGACAATGAACAGTAGGCTGAAGATGCAGCCGAGCAGCTGGGAGCTTAGCCACGCTCACCAGACTTGGTCCGGTGCCTTTACTCTGGTGTGACCCTTCGGCTGTGCTGCAGAGGACTCCAGGAGCCTGTTTGTCCTAGGGAAGCTCCAGGCTTACTGCAGTGCAGCCTAGAGGCCCTGTTCTTAGCCTCCCTTGGGTTACACAGGGCTCTGCTCCTCTCCAGTCCTTGGCCCTCACTCATTCCCCTGGAACCTATCACAAACAGCGACAACCATTCGGGAAGCTCTGCACTCAGGTACTTTAAAATGTTAATAACTGTTCACAATCACTCTTAGGAAAGGCCTGTCCAAGGTCATCTTCTTAGTAAGGGGTGGGGGGCTCCCATTTCCATTTCTCCCCTGTGTTGTGCCGCCTCTCTCAGCCAGCGACCCTCATCCAGGCAGAAGACTACTGGCTCACCAGGGATCCCTCAGCCCATTTCCTACCTCTGTTCAAACCATCCCAGGCCAGGCCCCTCTGTATTCCCCTTCCTCCAGGGCCCAAGGACATGCTTCAGTTAGATCTCACAGCAGTGCAGACACTCAGGACTACTGCCCTAGACGAGACCTGGCCAGCTCTGGTATCTCTGCGAAAACCTCATGTGGACAGAAGGGTGTCTGTGGGTTCTGAACACATCCATCTTTGTGCCCCAAGGCTGTTCCAGAAGTGAGTGCAGAGCCTCAGCTAGTCTTGCCTTCCTAGCCTTGCGGCCAAGCTCAGTTCGAAGATGCAGCAGGCCTCCCTCAACTCTAGTCCCTCGAGCACCACCTCTTGCCCCTGTCAGCTGACAGCAACGTGACATCTCCAGCTCTGCTTACTTTAGTCACTGCTGCACACTTGGCGCTTCAGGGGCCACTGAGATTCGATCCATAAATGAAAGCAGTGGATGTCGTCAGGGTCTCAAGGGATTCCGGGACGGGGAGACAAGGATGGGGGAAGAAAAGATTCTCCTCGTATCAGAGAACACAGGAGGCCGGCCTGTGGGTAAACCTGTACTTAACTTGTCCCCCAGCCCTGAGAGTAGCCACCATCCCCCTTCTTACTGCTGGAAGGCCAGGAAGGAGCTGAGCAGGTGTCCCCCGGGGCCCTGCAGGTAGGACACTGCAGGACAACTCAGGTGGACACCAGATCCCATGCTCTGAAATGGGGCCCACACTGCTCCTTTGGAAAGAGGACTTAGAATGAAACCCCACCTGATCAGAGTTATCCCCCTGGCCACAAGCGTGGCCGAAAGGTACACATGGTCTGAGGACACCATGCCCTTTGCCCAGAACCAAAAAGAAAAAGGGTCCACAACACCGGTCTCCTGAAATACATGTACCACAAAGTATTTTGCTTCCAAAGTCCACACTTTATTTCTATCCACAGTGCCTGTTGAGCAGAGTTCCAGTTTGCAATCCAGTTTACACAGCTTCTCATGGGGCTGGTTGTCCTGCTCATGGATGGAAACAAACATCATTGGCCTTGCTGAGGGAAATCATGACCAATTTCACAATTTGGAGGCCATGTAAATTAGCCCAAAGAACGATTTCCTCAACAACAGTCCCCAAAGAATGTACCTACCACTCTCCTCCCTTTCATAGGCCCAGTCAGACTGGAATAAGTTTGAGTTTCTTTCTGAGTTTTTAGCATAAGTCCTCAGTGCCCCAATGTTTCCACAGCAACAAAACTATTAACCTGCCTCTGAGTCCCTGGGCCCCAAGTCTTTCACTTTTCTTCTAGGCTCCCAAGTGTCTGCTGGGACACACAGGGCCCTACAGAACCAGGCTGGGCTGGGAGAGCAAACCAGTGTCACTGCCACCGGTCAACTTTCTAGTTCCCAAAGGAATCCTCCTGTCCCCTAGAAGCACTAGCCTGCTCTGAGTGAGGCCGTCAGTGTCTCTATCTTTTGTCAGTGCAGGTTCTCAGGCACATGAAATTTAAAGGCACACCCTCCCATCCCCAAGAGAACAGAGATCCTTTTTCCTTATTTGGCATCTCTCTGTCCCTATCTCATCCCGCAGCCCTGACCATCGGAACTCAGGCCCTAGGGACAAGGCTGAGGTATCCCCCTGCAGTCGGCATGGGCCAGAGGTTTCCTTGGAATGGCCAGCACAACACGCAGGCCTAGAGCCTAAGCTTGGGTACTGACTGAACTCAAAGCTTTTCCCACATAGAGCTTTAGAGACAGAGTCCAGCCTTATAAAACAGCTGAGAAAGACCTTTGTCTATTGCACTGGCCCAAACGCTCGTGCATTGGACAGCAAGTCTCACCTGCTCACAGCGGTCTCTGCTCTTCAGTCACCATGCACTGGTGACTGACCAACCAGACTTCAGCTTGGCATCTACCTTCCCCTCTTCAGTGACTGGATCAGGATCTCCGGGGAGGACTGGGGCCCACTGTTCAAATACACAAACTTCAAGGAAGCTGGAGACTCCTCTAGCTGCAGCCCTAGGGCTAGGCAGGCAACGTTCATGGGGATGAAGCAAACGGCACCACACTTCCGTTGTAAAAGCAATGTGAACTAAGGAGGCCCATTGACAATGCCCCTGCAGTAGGTCAGGCCGCTGGGGCGGCAGCGGCAGACTTTCCCCAGGCTTCTTCGGAGGCCACCCGTCACAGCACACCACTGAGGACGGGGACGTACTCTCCGTGCTCCTGTGAGATCCAGCGCTGCAATGCTTCCAGCAGCGTGTGCTCCGGAGCTGTGCATCCAAGATGGGCAGCAAGCCCACCTGCCCTACAGCTCTTTACAGTACAGCAGACTACATCTGGTGACTGAGGGAGCACGTGCCTGAGCACCACCTGGGTCCCCAGGAAACCGAGACTGGGTTTCTCAGGCTGGGAAGGATGTGACACTCAGGTCTCTGACTTCTAGCTCTTTGCGTTCAGGCTGACTTTTCCTCACATGCCCTCAGCGATGTATTATTTTGCCTTTTGTCAGGAAGAGACACTTATCAGTGGTGACGCTGATAATGCTTCCTAACTCCACCACACGGCTCGTGAGGTGCTGATCCAGACAGAGCCGGGAAGCATGTGCCGTTTCACTGTCTTTCAGTGGGTTACTTGATGCGGAGGGACCAGGGTACCATCACACCACTTACAGATCAAGAGCTCCCCTGGCCGGCTGCCACAGGTCTGAAAGGCAGCAGGCCGGGCACAGTGTGGGAATGCTGAGCTTCCAGGGAGGTGAAGCCTTGATGTTTGAGCACCATCTTCTGGTCAGTGTTCGGTTTCTGAGGCTGACTGGCTTTGAGAACCATTTACTTTAGAAAGGGAAAGATTTGCTAGCTGATAAATTCAAGCAACCAGCATATACAGTGAGGAGGGTGGGCTTGATCGGGATAGGCTGGCCAAAGCTGGAATCCAGCCTGGAAACTCAGCAGGGCTGCCTGTGCTGAGCTGAGGGCAAAGGGCAGCCCTTGAACACTGCTGTCCTCCACAGTGAGCCAGGTGCAGGGACGTGGTAATGCATCTCGACTATGACCAGACTGGACCCTCATCCCTGCACATGGTGGGGGCTTCTCTCAGACAGCAGGTGGCTTAAAGGTAAGTGACCTCTGTAGGGAGTCAAGCCACACTAGGTGGCAGGGAGCCCTGGCAGATGGGCAAAAGCTGGAATAGCCCACGTCTATCTTTGGGCTTCTAGGAAAGGAAGATCAATGCAAGACCTTCTCTCTAAGCAGCAGGAACCAACATCCATCTAATTGCACTTTCCACCAGATTCCACAAGCCATCAATTACCAGATTGTACTTCAGGAACTAAAGATAAAAGGCTCTGAGACACTCAAGACTTGAACGGAGCACCAATCTGCAGTAAGCATGCAGCCAGGGGAAGCCCAGAGAGCAGGCCACCCACCAGGCATGTGGGCCAGTGGCAGAAGCAGAGGCCACCTCGGATGCTTCTCATCCACCACATGCAGGCACAGGCCTGCCCCCAGGAGCTGGTTCATCAGGCCATCACATGCTCCAGAGGAAGCCAGCAAGAGGTCTCTGGGCTGAGGAGATGTTTCAGCCTCGATTACTGGAAGGTGTGGAAGGCTGGGGATCCCAGGGAAGCTCTGCATAAGGAATGCAGTGAAGAACGTCCAGGAAGGCAGACACAGCTGGACGCCCTCACATGAAGCTGCCTCCCAGCAGCAATGCTCCAAAGCTTTGTTTTGGGAGGGGCAGAGCAGGAGGGATCCAGAAGAACAATGAGGACTTCCTGTACATTAACACCGCCACCTGCTTTACAGCTAAACTCTGAGGGGCACCTGAGCAGAGGGGAGGATGGATGGGGGAAGTGGGGAAGGGCAGGCTGCCAAGCTGGGGTCCCTGGAGGCTGTGTTGGTGCTTTACTGGCAGAGGCACTGGTGGTGTCTGTAGGCCCTTTGTGGGCTCAGACTCTGCTTCTGAGGGCAACCCCCCTGCTTCAGAGGGTACCCAGCATGCTGTATCTCCTCGGCCACCCTGGCCACCAGCTCTCATCCACTAATCCTTCGGACTCTGATTTCAGAAGCCAGACTTCCCTGGGGGTAGATGGAATCTAGGCCTGAGCTGCAGCCTGGAGGATTGAGGCTGTCTGCCACCAAGGCGGTAGTGCTGGCGTCAGAGTGGATGTCTCAGACACTGGATCCTCGGAAGATGACGACGAAGCCTCTGATTTCCAAGTGAGAGCACCAGGGTGGAGCTGAGCCAAGCAGCTCAGCACTTGGGACAGCAGCTAGAGCAGAGGCAGGCAGGCCACGAGCTTCCTCTCTGGTACAGTACAGTCCCCCTCTACTGGAGGGAGCAGTCATTCACTTGGCCTCACCACAGATCAGGGTGACGGTACCATCCAGCAAATCCTCCACCGTCACTGCTACAAGCTCAGAGCTGTTCTGAGAGGTCTGTGAATCTGGCAAAGTCACAAACACCTGTGAGCCAGCAAGCTGAGTCTCCTCTAAAGTGATCACCTGCTCAGCTGGGGCCGCTGGCTCTGGAGCTTGGATCACCTGAAAGGAAAGACAGGAAGGCTGCTCTGGGCAGTGTCCACAGTGAGCTCCCCAGAATTTACATGGTTCCCGTCTCATGCTGTAATGATGATATTTATGTTTTCACCTGAGGAGAGCAATTACTTACACCTAATGGGAAGAGGGAAGTTTCATACACCAGCGATGCAAAAGAGAGGCAGGCAGACAATTTAAATAACTCTGTGCACTAAATTGCTATAATTTCGCTCAGTACGCCACCTTGGGGTGCATGGACTCTGTGATTACACCCCAGTGAACACTGGCGCAGTGGCATGCACTGGCTTTTCCTGTCTCAGGGATGGCATTGCAGAGTAAGTGCCAGGCAAGAGCTCCAAGGAACAAGAGTACTCCACCAAGAGCTTGGGCCCCGTGAGGATGAAAGTCTTTGTGGTAAGAAACTGGCTCAACTGTGGCTTCTCCCACTCACTTCAGGCACTTGGCTCAGTGGCTGGTGGGGCAGGCATAGGCTCCTGTCCCCTCCACAGGCCACGGCTGCCCCTGCAAACCTGCACACTCTGTTAACAATGGCCTTCCCAGCTCTTCTGTGGTTCCTGCTGCACCTCCAAGATGATACTGACAGCTTGATGCCTTGACATTTCTAAGGCAGTGTGTTCCAAGGGCATGGCCACCTGGCTCTGGAGGACCAGCTAGGGGTAGAGAGTGGGCACTGGGGAGGAAGGCAGGCTCAGCTCTGTGGCAGGGTTGTGAGGATAACTGGTGGCCAGTCACCAGGTATCTGGTCCAGTAGTACTGCTGTAAACTAAACTGTAAAGGAAGCTGCCTTTCTTTCTTCTAGGATTGGCGTCTTCTCCCACCTGCAAGACACCCTGTCTAGAAGCCTTGTTTCTAGGCAAGACAGAAGCAGAGTAGCTCAAGGTGGGATGACAAGGGAAGCCTGCCCACCTGACTTCACTGCTCCCAGAGGCTGCAAAACAAGACTGGCTTCCACCTGGACAGTGTGACAGCCGGGCAGAGAAATCTCCGTGAGTACACAACCCTACCCCTACTTCTCTAGGAACCACTGACAGCTGCCAGAAGCCAGCTGCTTCTCCTTTCTGCTGCCTCTGGAGAAGGTGGGAGAGTAGGAAGCAGCAGGGAAACAGAGGCTGGCTCAAGCGTGGCCTTCTCATATCAAGAGGCAGACTTTTCAGCAGGTAAGTGAAGGCACAGGCTTACACAAATGTGTACTGTAACCAGCCAGGGGGTCTACCCATGGTCCTTGACCCACAGAGTACAGCCAGCCTTCTCCAGGGTTTCTTGACAACCCTCCAGACAGTGCTTTTCAGAAGGTGGAGAACGTGTGAGCTGAAAGAGAAACTGCTGTTCCACCTTGGCAAATTCCCGTTCCAGGCTCCCTCCACCTCGGGGCCACCAACAGACTAGAATTTCCTGTTGTCTGACAGGCAGCTGAGAGACGCTAAGATCAGGAGGGCATCACATAAAGGACCTGTGAGAGCCCCACAGAGTGGGACTGGGTGCCGGGACCGAGAGCCATAGAGGAGCCCTCAGGACTCTGCGTTCACGTTCTGTTCATCCACTGGCCCCAGACTCACCTGCACCGTCTGAGAAGCAGCTGCCTGGGTCTCAGTGCCCGTTACCTTTGGGTGCTCAGACTCCAAGTGGCTGTCAAGCTGGGCCTGGGAGGTGAAGAGCTCGCCACAGAGCTCGCAGGGGAAGGTGCTCTCCGACTGCTTGAAGTGCTCTGTGGTGACATGGTGCTGCAGCGCTCCAGGAAAGCGGAAAGTAGCCGCGCAGTACAAGCACCGGAATGGCTGCGACCCTGAAGGAGGAGGCAGAAGACATCATCCGGCTGCAAGGGAAAGATGGCTGAGAGCAGGGGAGGTCGAAGGAGGCACAGTGAGGATGGGGGAGTAAGGCAGGCTCACAGGACCTAAAGCTCGTACATCCTCCTTACGAAACTGCACATACAGAGCAGGCTAGGACCCTCAGGTCACAGTGCCATGTGCAGCAGACAGCCTGCCAATGGGACTACATTTCCTCAATCCAAGGAGCAGTTTTTTCTATGCAGGGAATTGAACTTGCAGCCTTCATATGCTAGGCAAGAAGCCTATCACTGAGCTATATTCTCAGCCTCAGGAAGTGCACCTGAAGACTTCTGAATGGGATGGATGGCACCTGACCGCTGCAGGCTGGACTGCAGTTGGGTGCATTATCAACAACTGTGCATGCACAAACATCAAAGCTTGCAGGACCAGAGTCTGTGGCGTAGGAGAACATCTCTAAAGAGGATGCAGCCCACTTTTACCTCCCGGGGACCCAGTGGTCTAAGAGGAAGAAGGCAAATGAAGTACTGGCTACAGTCCAAGGCTGGGACCAAGGCAGCCCGATTTTGTAAGGGTTCAGGGCACCAAACCAACGGCTTCCTATCCTTTGACAGAACCCCACAGGCTGTGCCCCGGATCAATGCTCTGGTGACAGAGTAACACTGGAAAAGGGACCAGAGAGTCTTCCCTGAATTTATTTCTTAGGTTTTCCTTTCTATGTATGTACTTGAGTAAGTGACATGATAAAAAGTTGGTATCAATTAAGACTACAGACTGCCAGGTGGTGGCACACACCTTTAATCCCAAATCTCAGGGGGCTGAGGCAGGCAGATCTCTGTGAGTGTGAGGCCAGCCTGGTCTACAGAACAAGTTCCAGGACAGCCAGAGTTGTTACACAGAGAAACTATGTCTTGAAAAACAAAAGCAACAACAACGAAACAAAACAAAAACGAAAACGAAAACAAAGGAAAAGAGATTGACTACTTTGAATAGCCTACAAATTCTAATGATAAAAAAGCACAGCTTTGTTGGCAGCACTTTTCTTCTTGATGTTTCTTTAAAAATGGTTCAATTGATATTTGATGAGATACAGTACCGGGGACAGTCATGGCTCTCACAAAGGGCTGCTTACCGGGGCCAGGCCTGAAGTCTTCATGGCTTCATACAAGGTTGGTACTAACGTGCCATCTTCCAGATGAAATGGAGGCACAAGTCAGTAAAAAGACTCAGGCTGGGCTATGGAGCTGTGAATGGTGGAGCCAAGACTCACACCCCACTGTTGAGCTCAGGGACACACCGAAGGGCCACTGACCTGAATGCTGGCATTTGACGTGAACCTGCAGCAGAGCTGGTGTGGGGAAGAGTTCCTTGCACTGGTCACACTCATGGAACTTCAGATCTGTGAGTGTGAAAGGAAAGGAGTGCTGGTGGAAAGGATAAAGGAGGGCTCAGCTACAGCTGGAGGGGACAGGCCTGGGGGGGCAAGGACCCACATCCCACACAGCACCTGCCAAGTGTTAGGAACCCGTGCCTGTAGAGACCTGTGGAACCTACTGGTAAAGAGCACTGATCTGGTCCAGACTGTGTGGATGCAAAGGGGGCTGTGAGAATTAAATGACAAAATATACAGAGCGCTTGGCTGGTGCCCTGCACATAGGAAATGCTCTGTAACTGACAGCTGCTGTGATTATCCCCAAATGTACCTGCAAGGGAGGTATTAATAACTTCCATTCTGAAGAGAAGAAAACAGACTCAGAGAAGAGATGTCACCTGCCAAGGTCATGCAGCTGCTAAGTGCTAGAGCCAAGATTCCCACCTGGACCCATCTGCCATGAAAGCCGACACCCTTTCCAGGAGCTGGCTGGGTGTCCCGAGGCTGGTTGGAGCTTACACTGCTCTCTGCATAGGGGCTTGAGAACCGCTGCCACTTAAACTACAGCTCCTGATGGACAGGTGAGCCAGGGCAGAGCGGAGGCAATCACCACAGTGCCTGGACAGAGGACATGGGTCCCTCCACCCCCAGCTGCACCAGAGTCACCTGCATGCTCTGCTTTGATGTGCTTCTTGTGTTCGATGGTGCTGGAAAAGGTCTTGTCACAGGAGCTGCACTGCAGTGATGAGAACTTGGGTGACCGATGGTTCTGGGCAGCAAACACATCCGGGTGGTGGGTCCGATTGTGGTACCACAGACCAGACAATTGCTGCAAGGCATTTGGCAAATGTTAGGTCCTAGAAAGTTTCAACAATGACAGAAAGTTCTGAGACAAGCTCATGGATCTAGAATCAGGCCCCTGGAGGCTGATGTTAGTGAAGAGGTCACTACAGGCAGAACTCAGTGGACCCTCCGGTAAGTCCTCACTCACACAAGCTTGAGGGGATGTGAGGATCCTCCCATTGAGGCAGACTGCCACAAAGAAGGGTTAGGGATTTGTCTAGGAACACATCAGCAAACAGTCAGACTAAAACCAAAGTCTGGCCTGACTGGAGCATTTATGTGTTCAGCATGCTAGGCTGGACCTCAGTGCTGCCAAGGCCCAGGGTGTGGACAGTGACCTGCTGGAGCAGAGCCAGAAGCTGCATCCCTCTCTGGCTCCAGCTCTAAAAGTGCACCAGGAGCATCACTCTACAAATCCTTGGGCTCCTAGGGACCATACCCAGTCTTACTCCCCATCACAGCATGAGGTCTGGCACAGAGCGAGCCTTCCATAGCTAAAACAGTGGTTGCTCGGTCTAAACCTTAGTCACAAGCCAGGACTGGTTCTCTATGACCAGTTTCTGACAGGTATGGTTTATTTCTGGACCTCTGTGCCATTTCACTTTAACTACACACAGATCCGGAGCCCTTTCCTGAGGCAAACAGCAAGCAGTGACTACAATAAGCATAGCAACCCTGGGTAAGGTTTCACTCTGCATGTTCTTCATGCTCAGAGTCAACTGTCCATAGGACATGAGCACCCAAGGGGAAACCAACACTCACACAATGAGGCTGGGACCTTCTGCCAGCTAACACTTCCTCTCAGCATCATTCTGACCAGGACTCCTCAGAGAATGTCTGCTGTGAAGATATATTGCTGTGATTGGTTTAATAAAGAGCTGACCAGCCAATAGCTAGTCAGGAGGTATAGGTGGGACTTCTGGGCAGAGAGAGGAAGTAGGAGGCGATAACAGAGGTGCGCTGCTTAGCAGTTTAAGGTTTGGCTCACAAATTAGAGACTGCTGCAAGTGTGCGGCTGCAGGCACTTAGTACAGTCAGGTCCAGACCAGGAAAACCTCTGAACAGATACAAATGTGTAAAAATGTGCTTAGATGCTAAAGAAAGAAAAGAAAATGGGTATATAGTTTAAAAATAACAAAGTGAGGTCTTTAAAGAGAGAGTAAAGTGATATAAAAAGAATAAGCCACATAAAGATGGAAAATACACAGGGTATCTGCATCCTATATGATGCTTTGTTGACTTTGAACTTTTAAAATGCTAATGAACAAAAAAAATAGCTACTGAGAGACACTGGATTATGGAAACTGCTATATTAAACCAACCTATATATTTTAAGAATGTCTTAACTTCAGAATGGAAATCAGAAAATGTGCTGTGTTGGGGGAAAGGTTGTATTTTTTGTTTCCACAGTAAACAAAAAGCTATGGGTTCCTTCAAAATTAATGAAGATCAGATATAATTGGGGGAGACTTCCTGAAAATCTTGGCTACAGACATAAAATAATAATAATAATAAAGACTATAGGACAAATGATATATATGCTGACCCCTCTACTATGGGAACAGCTCTGAGACTGGATTAGACATGATAAATCTTGTTGGCTACAGAGTCCTCATGACTTATTATTACATGCCATCCTTTCATATGGCATGAATAGAGGTTTGGTTATACAGTCCAAACAAACTTATAAAGTCTACAGATGCCTTTTTCTTACTCAAACATAAAACAAAAAACTTTAACTGACTTGTGCACACTACATATTCCATACTTGTGTTAATGTAGATATATATGTTACCTTTAAAAGTTTATGTGTCTTCAGAAAAAAAGAACCAGACACAAACAATGACAAGTAGCCCAGGTGATCTAGCCTCTCAAAATGCCTCTGTTACAATTTCCTCAAAATTCTGCATCCAGAACAACTTCAAAGCTGCTAGCTGAGATGGTCCAGCCACACAGACTATCCAGCCAAGATTTCAGATAAGTTCTATACTTTCCCATTACACAGAGACTAAACAAGAAATAATATAGGTAGCTCTCTCAGGACTTGACCATTATCCCAGTTTTCTCGGGTCCCCTAAAGATGCTATTGCTCCCAGACAAAAGGAAGCAGTCTAGAGAACATGATGCCCACATTCCCAGAGGGTGGGTAGTTTTTGGTAATTCCATGGGTTATGGATGTTGGTTATCGTTTGAGGGGTTGGTTACAAGTTGTCATTGGTCATGGTCAGGAAAAAAGCTGAATGAATGAGATTAGATTCAGGGATCTCTTTCTGAAGGGAAAAAGGGAGAATATAGTATAAAAATTATGGGATAAAATGGTCGATTGTTGAGTCTACTTTTGAACAACTACTAGTCTTAAATATTTTACATTGGTATAGATTTTTGTATATTTAAGGTTATTTTTGTTATACTGTGTACATGTTTCTACTCTTGTTTAAGGTATTGTACCTATATAGCCCATTTAAAAATGTAAAGCTTTAGTCCTTGAAAGCTATTTAGGATAATAAAGAAAGACAGGTTAGTGTTAGTCATCTATAACAATCAAACTTATAGTACCTGATAATTGTTCTAATTGTATATAGCTTTACTATGTTAGAGTTAAAACTTTTCCTTTCTGTTTAGACAAAAAGGGGGAAATGTTGTGGGATATTTGTGCACTGTATGAAGATATATTGCTGTGATTAGTATAATAAAGAGCTGGATGGACAATAGCTAGGCAGGAGGTATAGGTGGGACTTCTGGGCAGAGAGAGGAAGTATAAGGAGGTAACTGAGGCATGCAGGAGATGCCAATGGAACAAATAAGACATATAAGACAGGAAGGTAACCAAGCAACGTGACAGAATGTGGATTAGTAGAAAGAGGTTAATTAAATTGTAAGAGCTAGTTAGAAAAAAGCCTAAGCTAAGACCAAGCTTTCATAATTAATAATAAGTCTCTATGTCATTTGCAAGCTGGCAGTCCAAAGAAAAATCTGACTAGCCTGCTCGGGGTGTAACCCAGGGCCTCATGGATGCTAAGTGTGTGTTCACGCAGTACACTGCCAGGTTTTCTCAGAATCAAACTGTTTGTCACATCCTGGAGACAAGCTCGGACAACATGTAGGCAAACGCCAATGGGGAGTAGGCAGGGATGAGGGCATGCTCCTAGTGGCCAGGGTCACCTGATAGGCCTTGTTGCAGATCCCACAGCTAAAGGGCTTCCCTCCAACATGGGTCACCATGTGCCGCTCCAGCATGGAAGGGGCGCTGAAGATCTTCCCACATGTGGGGCAGGGGTGGTACTCCTTGGAATGCACCTCGTGGATATGCTTCCGGTGATCTTGCAGTGTGGGGAAGCTCATCTTGCATTTCTTGCAGTCATAAGGATCTTCTATGTCTGCTTCCAGGCAGGGCATCCATGGGAGGGAGGGGCAGAGGGAGACAACAGCACAAGCAGCAGTCAGTGAAATGCCACTGTCTCATACAGCAAGATGGAAGGCTGTTCAGACTTCCTGTGGGGCCAGAGTCCAAGGACTCCAAGTCAGTGTGGCAACACTCTGGCTCTACTCCCTTTCCCCGAGGAGGCGGGACTCCTCCAAGCCATTGGACTCACCACCTGTGCAGTGTCAAACTGCTCACCTCCACCGCTTGCTTCCTGCTTACATGTCAAACCCTCCTCCCACCCCCAATCCTGGGTCTACTTTACAGGGAGTGCCATGCTTTTTCCTCCTGTCTGCAGTGACAGGCCTGCCTTCCACTTCCCAGTAGACCTTCCCAACACACCTCTAGAGTGTCGCAGTGTCTCCTGCCAGTGGCAGTAGGGGACACTTTTTTGGTCCCCACTTGAGACCCAACAGTAAAGCCTTTGCACAGACTCCCGGTGAACACTGGGCAGGTGTGTTCAGGAATTTTATTCATGTTAGCTCCCTCACAGCCTGGAGGGTCTAGTGTGAGTCTTTCTTTAAGATTAGGAAAATCAAGGTTTAGAGGTCAACTAATACCTTGCTCAAGGATCTAATTGGGAAAAGGTCTCACCTATACATCCTCAGTGGGAACTCAAAAATATGAAACTACTGCCAGGTGGTGGTGGTATACACCTTTAATCCCAGCACTCGGGAGGCCGAGCCAGGCGGATCTCTGTGAGTTTGAGGCCAACCTGGTCTACAGAGTAAGATCCAGGACAGGCTCCAAAGCTACACAGAGAAACCCTGTCACGAAAACACACACACACACACAAAAAAAAGGAGCTACTGCTGATGGACACTTGCCATCTAGATGACAGAAAACATCAATCTTTTCTTAAAGCAACTGAAAGCAAAATATTTTGATAATAAAATCCTCTGTCCACAAGAAAGGTCCAAGCCATAAGCTCCACCTGTATATATAGTGACTCTGCTTAAATCAGCAATCCTGCCCACAGCAGCCTTCAGAACCACAGGCTAGTTTCCCCATGGAAAGGCCAGGTTTGCACTGTGTTTGAAGACACTTTTGACAGTTTCTATGAGCAATGCTGTGGTCAGGCGAAAGTGGGGCCTAAATGCTGAGCTTGTGTGAATGGTGCACTTTATGGTATGCCAGTGGGCTCCAGGGTATACCAGTGAGCTCCAGGGTATGCCAGTGAGCTCCAGGGTATGCCAGCAGGCTCCAGGGTATACCAGTGAGCTCCAGGGTATGCCAGCGGGCTCCAGGGTATGCCAGCGGGCTCCAGGTTATGAAAGATTGAGTGTGAAGATTAAGGGTCCCCCTCACTAATTCTCCTACTGCTGTGAAAAGAAGACTAAAGCAGAACATCATTTCTCGAGGTTGAGAAGACATCGGAAGTGTGGCACTGGGTCTGGGCCAAACCCCACTCATCTGGAGGGCCACTGTGATCGAGTTCTGGACAGTCTTGCTAACTCCTCGGGGGTACATGACCCAGGAGTCCTCACACATGCTAGGCACATAGGAGCTCTGGCAAAGTCCTCGATGGGTGGCTGACAAGAGATGTGGACATGTTTACAGAGAGCATATGCTGTGAGACACTGTGCCCACAGCCAGACACTGGTGTGAGAAAGAAAGTGGGGGCAGGCAGATGAGAGCATGCAAGAAACACACACTCTGAGGTGGCATATGGTACTCAACAAGGATGTGCTTATCACCCATAACACCAGTCTCTGGCATTTAGTGAGCATTTCTGTGTCAGGCAAAGAATTTAGTCCTTTCCATGTGGTATCTCTGGGGTGGTTTGAACAGGAATGGCTCCCATAGCCTCATATATTTGGATGCTTGGTCATTAGGGAGTGGCACTACTTGACAGGGATTAGGAAGTGTGGCCCTGTTGGACTAGGTGTGGCCCTGTCAGAGAAGTGTGTCACTGGGGGTGGGCTTTAGGGGGTTTCAAATGCTTAAGCCAAGTTGCCTGTGGATCTGGATGAAGAACGCTCAGCTCCTCTCCAGCACCACGTCTGCATGCCACCATGCTTCCCACCATGACGATGATGACCTAGACTTCATGGTGTCTCTTTACCACAACAGAACACTGACTAAGACAATCGCATTTAGTTTTTGTGACAAGCCAAGGTGGTGGCATTACTATTACTATTTATTCCAGTTTGGAAGGGGCAGAGAAGGCTTAGCAGGGCAAAGAAATGAATGTGGAAGGGTCAAACTTCGAGTCTAAAGTCATGTGACCAATTTCAGAGTATGTGTTCTCAGTCTACCTGCTGTGTTGTGTTGACTATATATGCTAATTCCAGGGTATGTATATGGTTACAGGAAAGGAGGATGAAAAAAATGACGAGCCAATCACCCAACAGTGTTTCCTGGTGTGTGTGTGTGTGTGTGTGTGTGTGTGTGTGTGTGTGTGTGTGTGTGTGTGTGTGAGAGAGAGAGAGAGAGAGAGAGAGAGAGAGAGAGAGAGAGAGAGAGAGAGAGGCAGGCAGCTGGGGCAGCCCCAGATAACTCAGTGAAAGCCAATGGCACTGCGTTTGGAGGGAACATGGTAGCACTGCCTAGCACAGTGAACATTAACTCAGAAAGAGCCAGGCTTGCTTCTTTAGAAAAAGCAGGGATAAAAACAGGATGAATGTGGAGAGGGGGCGGGTAGAAAACGGAAGCTGGATGAATTGATGGAATTGTTCCAGTGCAGTGTCCTGGGAGCCTGACAGGGAAGACACTCTCTCCTTCCAACATAATTTGCTTCTGCCAGCCAAACACTGTGAGGTGAGCTAAAGAGACAGGCTGGACAGAGAAGCAGGACATATACAGAGATATGCTAAGGAGGAACTGAGGGGCTGAGGGTTTGACAACATTGGGAGGATAGGGCCCGGAATGGGGGGGCCCAGCTCTGGTGCAGGGATTGCCCTGTTAGCACTGCCACAGGCCTCCTGAGTGCCAAGCATGGCCTGCGGTGTCTGACGCTGCAATTGCAGTACGTACTGTGAAAGGTGTGCAGGTGGATGGAGAGGCCATTGGCTTGCCGGAAGCCCTTTCCACAGTCCCTGCAGACATACGGCTTGTCCCCGGTGTGGGTCCTCACATGCCGGGACAGCTCGATGGATTGGGCGAACACAGCATCACAGTACTGGCATGCATACATTTTCCCTGCAAACGCACATGAGCGTGTAAGAACAAGCACTGAACACGGATGGCACTTCTGCAAACAGAACCCACTCTAAAGCACACACTAGAGAAATGTCACTGGGAGGTGACTTTACCTCAGGCAATGCTGGGTAAGTCTGAGGCACCTCATCAAATGCATGCACCTCACAAACATAACCATCACACAGTGGGTGAGCACGACTGGACGGGGAACAAAGCTCTTGTCTCCAGGAGAACCTGCTTGTTTATCAGGTTTCCACGGAGAGGAAGAGTCCACTCTACTTCCACCAGAGTAAGTCCTGCTGTCCAGAAACGTGAGTTAGATCTTACAAAACACAGTGTGTTCTTGCAAAACACAGCCTAGGTTATGGGAGACCCATCTCACAGGAGAACAATCTAGCATGGATTCCCACTACTACAAAGATGAGCTAGGGATTCAGAGGGGACAAAGTCTTCCAGAGACCCACTCAGTCAGCACACGGCCCTCGATTCCTTCAATTTCCCATGCGCACGAGAACGTAACCAGAGTTAGAAACAGGTGAGGAGCAAGCCTCTCAGGCCAGGAAACAGCTGCTGGGGAGGAGGGTTCCAGATCCGCAAGGCCAGTGCTAGGTCCCACGTCAGCTAGAGCAATGGCCTTGTTCTTGTTTTTTTACTGACCAGGCTTTGAGTAAGATTTTTATACATGTACACACATGCATACAAACACATATGTACAGTATGAATCCCAGCCTATCATCACTCTGATCCAAACTCTTTGGTGGCTTCTTGTAGCAAGAATCTGTTACTGTCACCTTAAAAGTCACTTCTGTGACTGAGTCATGCGTCTTGAGATGAGACACTACACTATCCTATCCAGGTGGCCTAGGGGCATCCCAGATAAGAGGGAGGACAGACACAGAGTCTAAGGAGGAGGCCTGCAATAGGTGCAGAGGCTGGAGTGATGTGGCCTAGAGCCAAGGAGTGTCAGGAACTGAGTCTCCCGATGAAACCATCCCAGATGAAACCTTCGCTTCAGCACTCAGGACCCTTCTAAAAATAACTTCTAACTCCCTGGTGGTAACAACACGTGTTATCTCAAGCTATTATTTTTGGTAATTCATGAGGACAGAAGAGAAAACCCTGCAAGTCTTAGCCCTCAACTCCCCTCTCTGCACACTGCCTCTTAGGAGGGCCCCTCATGATTCTGCTCCCAGCTCTCTGTGGTCCACCCGAAGCTCACTTGCACTGAGGAGAGGTGTGCGCTTCTTCCAGATGTCCCTCTGGCTGGATTGCGCATCTCTCTGAGGCCATCACTGATGGTGTGAACAGCACACCCAGCCCTGTCCTTCCCCATTGCTCCCCAGCCTTAGTTTCCACCATAGCAACAACTACCCTCTCCATTCCTATCACACATTTGCTATTTATCTTGCCCTTTGAAATGTAAGTGCCACAAGAGCAGGGCAAGCATGTTCACAAATCATCTATATCTGGAATAGCACTCAAGAAAGCCATTCACCAGTAAGTGTTTCTTTCTTTTTTGTTTGTTTGGTTTTTCAAGACAGGGTTTCTCTGTATAGCCCTGGCTGTCCTTGAACTTAGGGATCTACCTACCTCTGCTTCTGGGATTAAAGGCATGAGCCACCACTGCCTGACAAGCAAGTGTTTCTTGAGGGCTCTTTGTTGCCATGCACTGTTCTAAGTTCCCTTGAAAGACTGGCAACTCTGTCATCACAGACCTGCGCTCTAATGGGACACTAGGGTGAATGGATTATGGTGCCAATGCCCGTCACATGGTAAGCATGCAGAGAAAAGTGAAAACAAACAAACAAACAGACAACAACAACAACAAAACAGGCTGAGAGCAGTTTCCACTAGGGGGCCAAAGAACCATCACAAGAAGGTGTGGGAGGGAAGGCCTGGAGGAGGGAAGAGGAGCAGAGACCTCTGAAGGGAGAGGCCCCCAGAAAGGAAACAATCCTGGAGGAAGTGCCTGGGGGGCCTGAGGCCTGGCAGGGAAACTAAGGCATGCAGCAGATGAACAGGAGCGATGAGAAGAGCTGTCAGAGTGGCGCCAGGGGCTGAGTCAGGGTCGCCTGGCAGACTCCCACTGCAGATGAAAAGCCACTGCAGTGTTGAGCAGAGGAGTGGACGGAGGCATGGCTACTCATACCTGGGAGCTCTGAGCCCTTCCCTGACCCAGCATTGGACTGGTCCCCACTACAGTCTCCTCCACCATCCTGGGATGCTACCTTGTGATGCACTGATAGTGCTCCCCCCATCTCTACCCCTCCCAGCCCTCAGGCTGGCAGGTACAAGGGCACAAGGGTTCCAGGCCAGTCACCTGGCACTTAGCATGGCCCAGCCACAGAAGTACTCCATCAGCTCTTTCTGTTGCCTCAACACTATTGCAAGTGCAAACAATTCCCCGCTGTATGTAAATACCGACCACAAAGTCCTGCTGCTGCTCTAGCCGACTCTTCAGAAGCCCTCCTGGAAAGCTTTCTGCTGCCTGTGCATACATGGTTACTTCTGCCTTTACTTCCCCAACTATTGTGCCTGCCTAAGGCCAAATGGTTTTAGCTCCCCCAGTGGCACTCTGCACAAAAGGAAGGGTGCCCTCACCTTCCGAGTGCTTCTTCTTGGTGTGGTAAGCCAGGGCTGAGGCCTGAGTGAAGGTCATGAGGCAGTGCTTGCACATGAACGGGCGGTCCCCGGTGTGAAGGCGCAAGTGGTTCTTTAGGGTGGAGTTGGCTGCAAACTTGGCCCCACATTCTTCACAGGAGAAAGGTTTCTCGTCGAAGTGCTCGGTCAGCTTGTGGTACTGCATGCCTAGGTAGGGGTACCAGGCCCAGACGAAACACCATCAGTCAGTTAGGAACACAGCAGGAGCATGTCCAAACATGCTGCATTCGCCAGGCTCATGCTTGAGCCACATGCCAGGCCACCCGAGCCTCAGCACGGCCTGCCATGCCACTCAATGCCCACTAGTCCACCCCCTGCTCCCCAGTCACCTTAGTCTCACTCCTGGTTGAATCTGACATAGAGATTTTTAGCTGACCTTCCCCATTCACTCCTCTCACTTTCATGTTTCATTAGGTTTACCAGACATCAAGGACAAGGGAAAATGATTCCGACTTAATACCTTAGGGTTTCCGTATCAGTAAGTTTCTTATCAATAAGTAAATGGGATGTGGGCACCAACAAACCAGACGTCAAACATCTGGCTACAATTACAATCGCCAGTGTGTGGTGCTAGGTGTTTAGTTCTTCTGTCTTTAAACTTCCTCACAGTGCAGAGAGTGGGGTGAGGGACCTCCCCAACAGTTGGGAGAGCAATGCTCTGGGGGCCGACCCCAGTGCTTATGTTCTTCTCAGATACCGCCATGCCTCTATGAACCTGTCCAAGAGCTGAAGCCATCCATGCTCGTGGCACACACACAGGGCCAGGCTGGAACCCAAGCTACAACATCTGCAGCCACTGTCCTCCACGACTGCCTTCTGACATACCTGAGGCGTGAGCAAACTCTCTTCCGCAGAGGTCGCATGCCACAGGCAGCCGCTTCTTCTTCTTCTTGGGGGCGTCAGGCTCTCCCGCCGTGCCGTGGGTCTCCGGCTGGTGCTTCTGCAGCCCCTTCTCCGAGTCCTTGGTCTCACTGCTGTCCTTACACTGCACCTGTTTGCTCTTGGCCACCCGGCAGCGCTTCATGTGCACCTTCAGACGACAGTAGAAATGGAAGCTCTTGTCACAGGCTTTGCAGATGAAGCTCTTCTTGGCAGAGTCCGGGGAGGCAGAAGTGTCTTTCTCCTGTTGCTCTGGCACAGACTCAGGTTCCCCCCGATCCTTTTGTTCTGTCGGCTGGCAGTCTTCTCTGGCTGCATTGGCTGTTTTCTCCTCTTTGTCCTTGGCTCCAGAGTGAAACCTATCACTCACCATGAACAGACTCTCCTCTCCATTTTCCTTGGTAAGAAACCCTGCACAGGAGAACACTCGTGGCTCTAGGGCTCAGCTTCTATTATGCTTTGCAACTTTTCTAACACACTCTTAGAGGAGACTGGATTATGTGGATGCTCAGGAAACTCAGAAGTAATATTGCTGTCATCTTTACTTCCCACTAAACACAAATAGCATCATATCACACCTGCGCTCCTGGCTGTTAGGTACCAAGGGCACATAAAGGGAGTAAATATCTTGAGATACAACAACCTCTTACATCAACCACTGTTTCTTCTACTCAATATAGAAAGTGCCCTGGGGTCTAGCAGGCCCCAACCCCTGTTCCTTACCACCATGTGCCAATTCCTGCATGAGGGGTTGCAGGCCAGAGAAAGACTTGTGGACACTACACAGGAGGTGACAGAGTGCAGTGGCCGAGACAGATTTCTCCATGCCCTTGCTCAGCACTGCTCTCAGGGCCACTTCAGGACTCACTGTCTCAGAGGATATGCTCAGCATCTAAATGAAAACCAGAGACAGAGCTGTGTTAACATCAGAGTTTCCCTATGTTCCTCAATACCAGGGGGTCGGGGGTGGAGGGTGGGGTGATGTGATATGAATTATAGAAGACACGGAGCTCTCTAGGTAGTTTATGTTTCTCCTTGAGACATATGAGGAGCCCTGTTTTTCAAAGGACAAGAAAATTAGCAAAGTGCAAACCAGGGAAGTACATATCAAGACAGACGTGCAAACTGAGGAACAATGGGGCATGAGTGTTTCCTGCAGGACTGTCTTCTTAGCACCTGGCACCTCTCAAGAAGCCTTTCTAGAACTGAGCATGGGAAGCCTGGAGGGGGCAGGGTATAGGATTCTAGATCTGTGAGCATGGGAAGCCTGGAGGGGGCAGGGTATAGGATTCTAGACCTGAGCATGGGAAGCCTGGGGGGGGGGCAGGGTATAGGATTCTAGATCCGAGCATGGGAAGCCTGGGGGAGGCGCAAGGTATAGGATTTTAGATCTGAGCATGGGAAGCCTAGAGCGGGGGGTGGGTGGTGGGTGGGTGGTGGTGGCAGGGTATAGGATTCTAGATCTGAACACAGGAAGCCTGGAGTGGAGCAGGGTATAGGATTCTAGATCTCAGCATGGGAAGCCTGGGGGGAGCAGGATATAGGATTCTAGAAGTGAGCACAGGAAGCTTGTGTGTGTGTGTCTATAGCATTTGGCAGCGGCTGCTTCTGTAGAGATCAGGATAATTTTTCATAATATATAATTGTCTCCACATCTAGAAGTAATTCTGCATAGAGAGTGGCTTCATATTTTTAGACACTTAGATGTACCCTTTTAAACATCATTTTCTTTCATAAGAAACTCAGCGTTTTAAAGCAAGTTCAAATAGGGGCTTTAAAGAGGCCAGGAATATGATTTCAAAGCTGTCCTCTTTCAGAATGTTAGAGCTGTGGGCAGAGAGTCAGCACACTGAGAAAATGAAGTGAGACCATCCACAGATGGCCACATGGAACTTTCACTTCAGAAGGTATTTTATTTCTGCTCTTTTCAGGTCTATCTAAATAACCCTGATGCCCCTGGAGGCAGGCAGGAGACTAATTAGTGAGGCTAAAGCGATCAACGGCAGAGGCCCCAGCTCTGAAGTGCACAGCACTCTGGAGAGAGACAGGCAGATGAGCCTTGCCTCTGGAGCTCTGCAGGAGCGTGTGCCGCCTTCTTCCCGTCTGAGAGGCAGACTGAGGCGGGGCTGTCACCAGTGGGGATGGTTAGAAACCTGCCCTTGTCTATGTGGATCAAAAGGACACTCCAGGTACATCTGTGGTTTAATTTTATGTTCTTTATTATCCTCCCCTGTTGGAGATGTACATAGCCAAGTCTGGATATCTCTGAGTCTTCCTTAGCCCCCACCTAGATTCTGGGATGCTGGTCACATTGTGAGATGTCTCACCGAAAATGAGCTGGCATTATTTGCTGCCCCATATGGGTAAAGCTTTGTTCTATCTATGTTTATCTTGGCTCTTTCAAGAAGCCAGAAGAAAACATGCAATAAGACCAACTTCCTTCATCTGAGACCAGCTGCTTCTGAGAACATGGTAGAGAAAGAGTCACCATTTCTCCAGCTATTCTAAGCTACGGCAGTTGGAAGATGTGTTCGCTGGGGTTGTATTACTGGCTTCATTCAAATTCCGGCTTCACCGCTTATCGCCAGTGTCCTAGACCGGAAACACAAACCACTTACTCACCAGTTTCCAAGACTGGAAACAACTGTGAAAGCCTGAACTCTTCTGTAAAGGCAGATGTCATCACTTGCCACTTAGGGCTGGAAAGCTAAAGAACAAAGGTGTTCTGTTGTGGAATATTATTTCAACTAGGCAAAGATGTGTTACATTTGTTTATGCGGTGGAATATTAGTTTAAGTGTGTGAAGGTGTGTTACATTTGTTTATGCTGCATTTGTTTAATTATGTAAAGATGTGTTGCATTTATTTCACCATGCCTGCCTAAAGTACCTGGCTGGTCTAATAAAAAGTTGAACAGCCAATAGCTAGGCAGGAGAGAAGAAATCTAGGCTCAAAAAGGAGGAAGAGGAAGAAGAGAACAAGGGAGAAAGAAGGGAGACGCCTGGGGCCAGCAGACACACAAGGAAAGAAGGTAAAAGGCCCTGAGGCAAAGGCAGATAGAGAGAAACAGATTAAGATAAAAGAGCTAGCTAGCACTGAGCATAAGCTAGGCCGAGCACTCATAACTAAAAATAAGTCTCCACGTCATGATTTGGGAGCTGGTTGATGGCCCCAAAGGAAAAGCCTGGCACAGTGTTCTGCAGAGCTGGTGGAGCAGCAGGTATGCAGTAGGCATACGCAGAGAACCAAGATGGCTCCAGGCATCGACCCTGCAAGTTCTACAGAACTCGATAATCACAGTCCTTTACCCACTCCTCCACTCCCCACCTCTTTCACAATCTCAGCCAGACGCTCATCCTCTGAAGAGAAGTGCTTGAGCTCCATCATCTGCTGGACGGCCTCTGTGACCAGCCTGCTATGCCTCAGGATTGTTTCCAAGACAATGCTCTCTGGGGCAGTCACTGAAAGAAAGGGAGGCCAGATACTCAGCCAAACCACGGGCATCATTTTCTCCCTCACCTCTCAACTCCACTCTTCACCAAGACAACACATGGCATCTGTCGCTTCATTTGGGCTAGGAGTGAAGAGAGTAGCCAGCCACTGTAGCCAGCGCATAATAATGAATAAGGGCTTGTCAGCACCCACATCCCCCAACAGTTTCCTTGTCTTTGTGTGTCTTACCACCGATGTCTACATGCACATGGATGCTGTGCCATGTTTGAATTACGACTCTCTAGCTAGCTCCTCAAACACCACTTTCCTGAACACGCTCAAAATCTTTCTTCTTGCTTTCCTCACACACAAAGCACCTTGGTCACCTATGATCACCCCACTGTGTAGGAGAACATGGGAACTTACATGCCACTGCTCCTGAGGGGAGGGACACAGATGGCAACTGTAAGGGAGCCTTCTTGTTTCCCAGGAGTCAACAGTTGTCTTTGTCGGGGCAACACGGTGGCAGAGGGCGGACAACTCACCTGCCCGGAAGAAAGCCCCGGCGCCAGGCTCCCTTCCTACTTCTTCCAAGAGCAGGTTCAGTGGGCAGGTCTGGGCCTCTTGAGCCACTAGCAGCAGCTGCCAAACAGCTGTTGCAGAGAGAGTTTGCCTTTCCAGAGCTGCTGACATCAGGGAACTGAAGCCCCCTGAGCCAGAGTCCTGTTTCACGAGTGTCTCCATAACCTTCAAGATGCAACAGAAACGTGAGTGAGGGACTGGTCCTGAGCTGGTGGCAGGCGGGACAGTCAAGTCTCGGTGCCGGGTTCGGGAGAAGGTGTTCAGGGAGTGGAGGTCTTTGCAACTTTCACCTCTTTCAACCTGGGAGGCTTTTATAATCACATTTACTCTGTGTATAGGGGCTGGGGTATGGAGTCAGGGACACAGCCTAGTAGTAGAAAGCTTAACATACACGAGGCCCTGGGTGTGTGTATATACACACACAAAATAATTATAGCTCAAAGTCAGTCTCTCTCTCTCTCTCTCTCTCTCTCTCTCTCTCTCTCTCTCTCTCTCTCTCTCTCTCTCTCTGTGTGTGTGTGTGGTTTGGTTTATAGGCAGGATTTCACTGTGCATCCCAGGCTGGCCTTGAACTCATAATCCTCTTCTCCTTGGCAATGGGATTATAGGTGCGCACTGCCAAACCTGGCTACTGACAGAGTTCTTATTTGTGATGAAGTTCTTTGTTCCTTTTCATGAATGCTTTTCTTTATTACTATAGAACTATGCAATGCAAAATACAGAACTACGCCGGGCGGTGGTGGCGCACGCCTTTAATCCCAGCACTCGGGAGGCAGAGCCAGGCGGATCTCTGTGAGTTCGAGGCCAGCCTGGACTACCAAGTGAGTTCCAGGAAAGGCGCAAAGCTACACAGAGAAACCCTGTCTCGAAAAACAAAAAAACAAACAAACAAACAAAAAATACAGAACTACAACTCTTTAGGCCACTGAGATGGCTGAGGGAGTAATGGCCCTGGCCACCATGTCTAATGAGCTCAGTTTGATTCCTAGAACTCACCTGATAGGAGAGAACTGAGAGAAAGTTGTCCACTCTACAAACTAAATAAACAAAACTTTAAAAAAAAGAAACTGTGAGAGAGCGGGATGTCCGTCTTCGGGTCATAGTAATTGTGGTGTTGATCACCCGGAAGCGATCACAGTGCCACACTGTGGAAAGGGGAGGCAAGCATAAAACTGGACCAAACCTCCATGTCTGTTTGGGAGGAAGACAGGTGTGGCCGCTGGATGGTCGGACACAGATGCCAGCAAGAAGAAAGGGATTCCCCAGGGAGAGGACACCCAAAAAGTACATCCCTGGAACAAAAATGATCTTCGCTGGAATTAAGAAGAAGGGAGAAAGAGCAGACCTAATTGCTTAGCTTAAGAAGACTACTAATGAGTAATTCCACTGCCTTATTTATTATAAAACCAATGACTCATGGCTTTTAAGGTATACCATAATTTAATTCATACACCAAAATTCAGCAGATCATGAATGGTTCAGTGTTTTTGTTGGACAGTCCTGATTTAAGTAAAACTGACTTGTAGCAAAGTGGATATGATCTTGTAAAAGAAAAAAAAAAAGAAAGAAAGAAAAAACTGCAACTGTTCTATTTGGCACTTACCCTTAGAAAACAAGTCACCTTCTAGTTCTCCTTCTTGGCATTTCTCAAGATAGTGGTGCATATGTATTTATAGAAAATGCAAATGTGTGTGTATACATAGCCATATTTCCCCTCCCTCCCTCCCGCTCACCTCTCTGTCTCCAGGGGCTAAGCTCTTCACATGTGAGATCATCTTCAGCAGCACCTGGTTGTCTGTGAGAACCTCAGACAGGTTTTCGTGGTACTTTCTCAACAGCTCAGCACCATAGTCCTCAGGGCTAGGGAGGGCTGGAAGGAGAGCAGTACAACGGTAAGGCCACAGACAAGTTTGGGAGAACAGCAGCTGAGGGCTGTTTGTGCCGCAGAGCAGAGGCCCGCGGCTAGCCCCGGGCTGCACACACAGCATCCAGGTCTCCTCTGGTCTACACAGAACCACCTGTGCTTCAGGGTTGTTGAAACAGACCAGTGCCTGGTAGAAGCCAGGGATGCTCAGCAGGCGGGTAATGAGGAGGCTGCACTTGCAAGAGGCTCTGACGTACAGATTCAGGGGGTCGTCCTCACAATGCCCAGGGTAAAGGATCCATATGGTGATCCCAAATACCACCCGCCACCAGTCCAGGCTGTTCAGATGCCCTCTGAGCCCATCTGTTAGCTACTTCTTAAGTCAGATTTCCTTAAAGGTAAAGAAAATACAGGAAATCCACACAAAACTAAATCCCTTAGTTTATAAATAGTTACGTTTTTATTTTCCTCTTTGACCCAGTAAATCCACTTCTGGAAACTAAGCCAAAACAAAACAAAACAAAACAACAATAACAAAAAAAACCCCTAAAGGCAAAGAACCATTGCCATGGTGGAGCCATGGTGGAGCCATGGTGGGCCATGGTGATGATACTGACTGTGGAGACAGTCTCTAATATGTGCTGAGAGTCCACTATGTGCCAGGCACTTTACTAAATGTTTACTGGTGTCATTTCACAATGGCCACAAAAATGAATATGACAGGTACAACTCTTACACCCATTCCAGGGACTATGAGGTTCATAAAGTGAAGCTGCATGCTTAAGGTCAAACAGCCACAAAATGGCACCATGACTTCCAGGCTTCCCGTTATACCACATCAGCCCAAATCAGGGCATGTGTAACATAACATGCACATCTGTGTGATAGAAAAGTATACGTCCTTCAAAAAAGATTGGAATTTTCAGAAATGCAAGAGACTCTTTTGCTATTGTTAAGTGGGCAATCATACAACTAAAAGGTAAGGTAATCTATAAACATGAGCACACATCTCAGTGTCAACAGTAAAGGACTTGGGAGCGGGGGGGGGGGGGGGGGGGGGGGTAAAGCAATAGCTGATTTTCTTCATTTGTGGGAACTGTCCCACTTTGTGTATATGTATATATAAATCACTATAAGCTGGAGAAAAGCCCTCCTGTTTCCCAGAAAGCCATCTTGGTCCTATATGCTCTGGCATGGGGCAAAGTAGTTCCAGCTGGGCTAAGAAAGGAAACGAGCTCCCTCCCCCAAGCTGAGGGACACCAAGGGGGCTGGCTACCTGGGGATTGGAGCACACAGCTGGGAAGGGGGCAATCAGGATTTGAATTAGCCACTCACATTCACCCACACAGTCTGCTGGGATGCACAGCCTCCTGGGCCCCTCTGTCCTCCGTTCAGTTTCACAGGTGACCCTGGCTAGCCCTGTGGGAGGAGGGTCCATTAATAAGCCTGAACCATAGAGATCCTAGGAGGGAGCTTAATGAAGAAGAGTCCTCAGATTCCAACTGATCTGACAGCGAGCTTGCTTCGCAATGCAACACCATTCCTTAACACAGCTCTTCTTCCCAGCATGGGGCCAGGAGGGAGCTTTAAACTGTGATTTTCTGTACAAGCGCTCCTGTCCAGAGACTGAACAATTAACTCGTACCTGCAGTACCAGGCGACTCCGCTACTTTCTGCAAATTCTCCAGCAGGAGGCCCAGGTTTGGGAACGCCGTCCTCACAGCCTGGAGGAGTTTTACCAGGCTCTCCGCAGGCAGGGTCTTCTCTTCAGCCATTCTGTGCAACAGCTTCTCTATCGTCTCCTTGGGTGTTCTGCCCTCACAGCAGTTCAGAATCACCTGCAGGGGCATGCAATCAGGCAGACACTGTTACTGCAATTCAAAATGGATCGAACGCTGCCAGAAAGCCAGCAAGAGAGCCTTACCAGATGCCCTCTCCAAGCCCTCCCCAGCTGGTCTCCAGCACTACTTTTTGTCAGAGTCCCTTTTTCTGTTTGTTTTTTTTTTTTAATCTCAAACATTCTCCAAACAAATAGCTCTATGAAACTCTTCCCCAGCAGTAAGTCCTTTGCTTCCAACAGCTTGCACTGTCTGAAAACCTTTTTTAGAAACAGGACTGGTCTAGTATTTGTTATATAGCCCAGGCTTGCCTTGAACTCATGGCAATCCTCCTGCTTCAGCCTCTCAAGTGCTAGAGGAACAGGTGTGCACCAGCACAGCCAGCTGAAAGCCCTTCACACTTGGCTGGTATAGTCCAGGAAGCAGTGCACATCTGACCAGCTCTTTGGATCCTTTCTGCTTGAGACACCAAGACTGAGAAACAGGCCAGTGCTCAACACTGTTAAACACTTAACACTATCTCTGTTCCACATTCAATTCTGTTTATGGACTTCTACTCTATTTGAATACTAAAAAAACTTTAGTCTCTGGTTACAAAACAATAAAGTGTTCTTTCAGATTATTTTCTTGTAAAATCTTTTGTTTGTAGAGACCAGGTCTTACTATGGCTGTCCTGTCTGTCCTGGTACTTACTCTACAACACAGTTTGGCCTCAAACTCAGGGAAATTCTCCTGCTTCAACCTCCTGAGCATTGAGGTTACAGTGTGTGCTCCTAGGCTTTGTGGGTTTGTGTGTATACATGCCTGTACTTCTGTGCTGTGCACGCGGGCACACACACACACACACACACACACACACACACACTCCTATGCTCTGTACATGCAAAGGCCAGAGGAAGACCTGGGTGTCCTGTTCTATCAACTTTTACCTTATTCCCTTGAGACTAGGGTCTTTCACTGAACTCAGATCTTGGCCTGCCAGCCCCAGTGATCTCTCTCTGCCTCAGCCCCAGCACCCCCACCTACAGGCACACATGGTGACTCTGCCTATTTAGTACACGGGTGCTGGGATCCACACTCAGGTCCTCACGCTCATTCAGCTCTCTTACCCACCAACCCATCTCCCCAGCCTCTCAATGGCCACACATTTCAGCTCCACTCACGACTCAACAGTCAATTTCCCTTGATCTTTCTTGGTTTGTCAATGGGTTTTCTGAACAAAAGGGTCACAAGGCTCTAGAAAATATGCTGAACAATTAAACACATGACAGACATTTTCCTACTGCCACAGAACTATTTCTTTTCTTTCGAGACAGGATCTGTAGTGCTATATTGTGTGCCCTAATAAACTTGCCTGAGGATCAGAGAAACAGAACAGCCAGCTACTAGTTCTTACCTCAGGCAAGTTTATCAGGGTATACAATATATCACTACAAAGGTTTCTCTGTGTAACAGCCCTGGCTGTCCTAGACCTTGCAGACCAGGCTGGCCTCAAACTCACAGAGATCTACCTGCCTCTGCCTCCCACGTGCTGGATTAAAAGTGTGCGCCACCACACCCTGGCACAGAACTATTTCTTGATGGACCACAGTGCAATATGCATAGTATGACTCTTACAGAATTAAGAGAGCAGATTATTTCAATGTATTTGGTCCATGGATCCACAGCAACTGAGCTGTGAGCCTTCCTCTGGGAAATGTCTGCTCTCAGGAGATAGTCAAGCAGATTAGTCACAGAAGCATGCCAGCAGCTGCCATTATCAAATTAGCTCTGTTATAAAATAACAAATTGAGCTTTAAAACCAAATTGGCTTTCTACATATGAAAGGAATATATATATATATACACACACATATATATATATATATATGTATATATATATATGATAAGTTGTCATATTCCCTGTTAGTCATTTTTCTTTGGATAAAGTCTAATATATGGTAGATATCGACTAAGAAAATCATAATTTAAAATTTAAGAGCCTGTATTTAAAAACCTGTAGTGACTTCAGCACCAACCCTTTACTCTTAAGCAGCTTTCTGATGCCCAACGAAGCAGCTCAGGGATGGCTCTTATGGCCAGACTGACTCAGTTTGTACCCCAGTTCTAGCTAGTCATGCTGTGTGACTTCGGACAAGTTACATGATTCTTGGAAGCTCGTTTTCCCCACCTGCAAAGGATGATAACTGCACCAACTCCTGAACTGTTCTTCTGAGGATCCTGTGAGATGAGGCTGCTGCTTACAGAGCCCGGTGTGACTGCTAAGGACACACATGCTCCTTCAGAAGCATGCTGCCATTACCAACAAGCCATCTGCACAGTGGTAAGGATGCTCTCAGTGTGCTCAGGCCCAGCAGAGCCCAGGTGAGCTCAGCAGAGCCTCAGCCTCCTCAAGCTCCCAGTTCTTAGGAGGATGGTCTCTGTCCATGAGGTTATAGAGCTGCTCAGAAGGAAAATTTAGGAACAGCAGAAGTCTTTAGTACATCACTTAGCAGGTCATATGCAGCAAGCAAAAGGCAACTATAGCAATTGCCCTGAAGTAAGAAATTTTTCTTTCTCATTTTTTCATAGAAAGAACTCAAGGCTTTTACAGATAAAGCATGAAAAGCATAATTTCATAAAAGAAGTTCTGTTCCTTCCCCACGGTGCCATGACACTGTGGCCATGGACTCAACATTCACTTCTGGAGTCGGCTTGGCTGGGCTTCTGAGTCTTCTAGGAGCAGCTGCTGAAGCTGTATGACCCCAGCTTAAGAAGTGTTGCTGTGATTTGCAACTAATTTAAGTTCTGCCCAGCCTTTTTCATCAAGTAAACCGAAAGTGACAGAAGAAAATGACAGTGTGGTCTATCCTGCAGCAGAGCTTAGGGCTGGGGCTGGTTCCACCTCTAAGTGCTGTTTTACAAGATAATGGAACAGCTCAAAGGCCACTTTCAGCCTAGCTCATCAGGAAAGAGCTGGGAGGAATAATCGAATGAAATCTCTCAACAGGGAATCAGAGGCTTCTGGTGCAATAAGCAACTTACTGAAACTGAGTGCCTAAGATTACACCTAATCTGAAACCTCAGGAGGAAAACACAAGCTCATTCCCACCATATTAGCACTGTCTATGAATTTTACAAAACTTTAAAACATCAATTTCTAAAATACATTTTTGAGATTAGAAGCTTCCCCCAACTGTCTGTCTGCCTGGATAGTCAACCTAAGATGGCTCAGGCAGATGGAATCTAGGACCCAGACCACTATGAACCCAGTGCTATCACACCAATGGTTTGGAAACCATCTCTCCTGAGCATCTAAGTCATTCTCTCAGTTTTAAGAAGTAATGCCATCTCTCTCCCCACCCTTCCTTCTAGATAGACATATTTTTAGCACAAAGTTGAAATCGATAACACCAACAAATACAGTTATCTAGTTGCCCTAAGAAGTCATGCCAGCAGTTTTATGAGGGTTTTAGCAGCTAGCTGTTGGGAGAATAAACTGCTATGACCTTCCTGAAGGGCAATTTGACAATGTCCACAAAGACTTTTACACTCTATTCTAAAATTCCATTTAAAAATTACCCTAAGGAAATAATATTGAGAAGTCTGCAGAGCTTTGCCTGCAAGGATGTCCTCTACAACATCATTTATAAGACAAAGTAGTGGCAACAAATGCCCAAGAATAAAGAGTGAATGAGTCATGGGATGCCCATTAGGATATAATGCTCCCCCGTCCCTTAGTGCAGACAGAGATGTGTGGTAGCAGAGAAGAGCCACGAGTTTGTACTGCCTCATCCAGGACTCCAAGGAGACAAAGGGAAGCACATGCTGCTAGCAGGAGCCTCTCGGTTTTTTACAAATTTACTTTTGCTTGTTTTCTTGTGTATCTACATATTAACCATGTATCCCTTCTGTAAATACGAAAAGAATCACAATTACAAATGTGCCACGACATTCAACTCTTGCTACAACGGTGTCCCGTGAAGTCAGAGTCACAGCAGCAGTAGTAGTGTCATCTGCCCATCCACCTGCCCAGTGGCCACGTGCTGCAGAGCTATGGCAAGAAATGGAAAGGAGCATGCGACAGGAACCTCCAATCAGCCAAGGTGATTACTACGCAGAAGGTATCAAAACATCACAAGGCAGAAAGCACTTCATGCAGCAAAGGTGCCAGGAACACGCTCTGCAGAAGTTCAGAAGGGGGCAGAGGCTTGACACAGTTACCCTTTTTTCGGAGACAGGCAGGAATTCCTCCTTGGCTGTTTCCAGGAACTCCACAATAGGTCTGAGCTGTGTTACACACTGGATCAGGTCCTCTTTGTGTTCCAGTAACAGAACAGACAAGGTCTTTCCCTCCCCTGCGCTCCCTGGGGGAGAAAGAATTAGAGACACACAAGAGAAGCTAGTCAATTTGAAGAAAATGACAGTGTGGTCTGTCGAGAGAGATCTAACAGAATAGTAAAGTGCTTCGGTGCACCTGAATGCAGAATCACTTTTGGAGAGGAAAATACTTTATTATTCTGTTTAAACTCTATGAAAGGAAAAATGTTTCATTTATCTGTCGAAATACAAAGCTTCAGAGGCAGCCAGAGGTTAACTTCTGGTAGGCAAGGCCACTGCTTTGTACCTAACCCAAATGAGAGCAACTTCAGCTTTAAGTGCTGGCAGCGAACCAGTCACTTGAGGCACTGCTTTGGACATTTGGCTCTTTGAAAGGCATGAGGACAGTGACAGTAGCCCCAGTTTGCTGAGGTGCCAGCCCAGATAACTAGGGCTGAAACGGAGACTCACATGGAGACTGTACATATTTAACATGCAGCTTTTGGGATGGCACAAGAACCTACATGAAAGCCACCAACGATACACATCACTGGCTGGAACTCTAAAAGCTGGGTCACCCAGGTGGCCAGAATGCCCTCCTACCTTCTGGCTGAAGCTGAGACACCTTCTCTGCAGGTGTGGACTCCTGGTACAGTCTCATCAGAGACAAGACCACCTGCACATCTAGGCTCCCATCGTGCACTTTGTCCAGGATTCTCTGGAATACTGAGCCTCCTCCTTCATCCTTGAGACATCCCATTATGGTCTGTGAACCAAGTGCCCAGAGAGAAAGAGAGACTAATTACCCACAAGAACTACACCTATGGTGTAAGGGCTCTGACGACTTGACCTCACACCTCTCCCTCAGCCCTTCACCCACTGCACCAGCTTGTAAGTACAGCAACCCAACCAGCTCAACTGCCAGGGCACCCACTCCCATCCCCTAAGCCTTCCTTCAGGACCTCACAGGCCCACTTCCTCCCTGCTGGTCCTCCCTGTACTGGACACACATGCTGTAACTGTTTCATGACCGCTTTCTCCTTGGGGACTTTTGGGAAGGCAGCAATCATGCTCCCAGGACTCTACAGCCTCAGCAAGAAGCACAGCCCGCCACATAGTAGGTGTGCAGTATATGTCTAACGAATGCAATGCACTTCTTGCCTAATTAGACCTTTCTGAATCTTAAGACACTGGATATTTCCCAGGCAAAGATATCTGAATTTCAAATTGAATGAACTGTCATTTTACTGTTTGAGAATGCAATTAAAATCTTGGGAGTTAGGAAAAAAGAACACTTTAAGTCATTTACATTCTGAATGATAGACTATTTAGAAAGACATGGGCCTTATTACCTTTAGATATATTCTGTAATGAGGCTAACAATGTGTTGGCTTATAGGTGCCAGCTGTCAGAGAACATGATTCACATATTAATTACCCCATGGTAAGGGCTGCTCCTGCTCTAGACAGGGAAGTGTCAAAGTTTCCTCTGGAAGCAATACTCACACACAGCCTGTCCTGCCTCTTGCCTCGTGCTGACCTTCCAATAGCATTAGGCATCACTCCACCTTGGTGCCAAGGTTTCCTGACATCAGGGATCCTGAAGTACTATGGTTAAAAACCCATCTTTGTGGTCAGCCCCTTTCAGCTTTCTCCCAAATCCATAACCACAGCAGGATCTAAAACATTATTTTGAGGAGACTGGGAATTGTTACACAGCCTGGCTGGCCCCAGCCTCCTGCCAACCCTTGCTTCTTTCCCTGACAATCCTGTAAAGAGAGTCCAATATCTAGGCCTCTTCTGATCCAGAGCCACACTACTCTTCTAGATATGCCTTAGACTCCAGGTCTCAGGACCACAACCTTGAATATTTCAGATCACAGGAAAGTATCAGCAATCCCAGTAGCAAAATAAACAAAATTAACATGCCTTTCTTTGATCTGACAGGACATCTCTTATGTAAATGGGAGGAAGACCAATGGAAGGTAGAGTTAATATTTCTATTTTAACAAAAATTTATTTTGAAAACTTGAAGTTACCAAAACATAATTCCTTCATACAGTTGCATGTATACTTTTATATTAACCTTTAAAAGGGGTTTCTTATGGTTTTGGTCTCCTTCAAAAGTAACCGTGGACAAAAACCTAGTTTAATAATCTACACTTCCATGACTAAGAGCACTTGCTGCTCTTACAGAGAGGACCAGAGTTCAGGCTCCAGCACCCATGTTGGGACGTTCACAACCACCTATAACTACAGTTCTAGAGGATCTGATACCCTTCTCTTCTGGCTTCTGCAGGCACCTGAACACAAACTACATCTATACAGGTGCACACACATTAAAAAAAATCTACATAAATATTTTAGAAATAATTTCCATTAACCTTAGGTAGCATATTGTCTACTGTAAAAACAATGAACAAGAAATAAAGACATCAGGTGAATGCTTAAATCCCCTTTGGCCAAACTAATTCAACTTCTCACGCTTTTTGTTATTGGTCTACCATCTCTTAGCACACCCTTCACTGATAGCAGTAGGGATTCTGGGGTCAACAACATGCAAAACAGCTCCCAAGACTTCGGCCTCCAGATATCTACACCCTTGGGCTGAGCCTCATGACTTACTTCTCAAGAAGAGTCTATGGCAGAAGCAATGGGATAAGCCTTTGGGAGTTAGGTTACTATGCTTTTCTGTCTGGCCCATGAGCACATGTGTGTATGTAAGAGACAGGGGAAGCATGGGCTTGCTCTGCTCACCTGCTGTCCCTCTCTGCCTTGTTCTGGGAGATGCCAGTCACCATGATTGAACTGCCCTAGGGAAGAGATCCTTGGGAAGAAGGATCGGGTTCAATTGCAGCAGAGTGTAGTATAAAAGCACACCTTCTGGAACTCACTAAGGTTCTGGGGAGCTGAGCCTCGAGACAGCAGTAGCTGGCTGACACCCCAGCTGCACAGCCTTCTGAGACTTAAGTCAGGGACCAGGCAGGTTCCACCTGAACTCCTGACCTGCAGAATCTGTGGGAATAAGTACTGCTGTTTCCAGGCTGCTGAATGGTGCAGTGGAAGAGGTAGCTCAGCGTCACTCCTCACTCCTAACACCCTCAGTAAACACACCGCTTCCTGTTTTCCTTTTCTTCCTTCCTTCCTTTCTTACTGAGATCACACAGCCATCTTATTCCACCCCAGGCCAGGCTGTTTCCTTTGTTCACCGACGGCTTTCTCACTAGTCCACACTCTCTCTGGGTATCGACTGTGGCTGGCATTATCATCTGAGCTGAGGGGAATGGAGCTTCCGCCAACAGTGGCTTCTGAAGTGCTCTCGTCTGCTGTCTCTGCCTCTGCAGAACTACTCAGCAGTGAAATGAAAACATTTGTTAACTTCATTGCTCAGCAGTGGTGCTGGGTGACCACCTGGGAGGAGAAGCAGGAGCGGGCTGATGGGAGGGCAGGAGGGAACCGTCAGCTGCCTGGACAGCCCTGCTCTTCACTCCAGCACCGACTGGGCATCCACATCAGAGCTGGCACTCCAGGCTGCAGGCGTTCTGTAGTGTAGCAGGCCCCCTTCTGCAACAGCACTCTGCCCAGACAGGGGTGCCGAGAGGGTGCCATATATTGTGCAGAGCTGCTACCGTGTGACGTAACTCCAAGATCCCAAGTAAAATACAGTCTTGTCACTGGGGCCAAGTTCTTCAACCAAACACTACAACTTCTTTGACTCTTAAGGGGTTAAAGGTACTTTAGTAAATCCACGTCAACACATGTTCACACAAGTAGTCAAAATTACCGAGTGAAATATAGGTATACACATTAAAAGATGAGGCAGCCAGTCCTCCTTCTACAACCCAGGAAAAGCATCGAATCTGTCCCTTCACTCAAGCCTTTTCATTGGATTTATGTACTTATCAACTGCTTCTGCCTAGGACCTTCACATTTGTCTGGGTGACAGCCAGGCCCTCCCTTCCATGCTAAGGGCCAGGGGACAGCAATAATGATAAAGATGGGGCTGGGGTGTAGCTCTGTTTAGCATACATCAGGCCCTGCTCGATCCCTGGCACCAAAAATAAAAAAAAAAAAAGAAACAATACAGACCATAAATAATAGTTCCACACCATCCTGGACAGAGTGTAGACTTGCTGTCTTCTTTAATCCTCACACTATCCCAGGATGCATTCCTTCTGCTATTCTAGATGAGCACTGGATAGGCTAAGGAACTTACCAAAGGTCACAGGGCAGCAAGCAGAGTAGTCTGAATGAAACACTGGATACATTAAATCCATCTGCACTGGATGCCCCCGGACCTACCAGAACCAGTCACTGAACACTGAGTAGGACACAGGTAATATGCACACCATCCTTACTTCGGAGACCAGTACACAGTGCTCACACCAAGTTTAACTGAACCTTTTGCTACAACTGCAAGTCTTCCTAGAGCTCTAGCTGTGTGGCCTAGACTTGATGTACAGAGGTGATCTGGAAAACACCAACTGACTTTCCCCTCTTGTAGACCTGTGAACTGATTGCCGGTTACTTGCTCTGAGAGGGTTAGTCCAGCCAGTGAGCACTGTCCTTACGACAAAAAGCCGCACCATACCACAAGGCAAAGCAGTGCCACTGCCGAGAACATCAGACTCAGAGCAGGACACCAGCTGCCTCTGAGATGCAGCTGAAGGAGAGAGAATGCTCCCTGGTCTCCAGCTCTGGGGGTCTTCCTAGGACGTCAGATTTGAAAGTGAAATAAGACAGTCCAGAAATCCAATAGTGGAGAAGTTAGCTTCTTACTCCTGACAAAGATTGCTTTGCTATATACACAATTAACTAAAAGCAGAGAGTTGCCAGGGATAAAGGAAGAAGACAATTAAAAGTTACAGCACAAACTGAAAGAAAGTATGGGCTGGCTTGAAACAGGTTTTACCACTTGCTTTCTTTAATGGTAGTGGCGGTTACAGTGCACAGTCTGGCAGGAGATGCTCCCGCACCCCAGCCCCAGGAGACCTGTTGTGATCAGTTCTGGCTGTGGAGATTCTCTGGGTTCCAGCGCCCTGCCTCTCTGTTTCAGCAATCATTGCTTAGGGAATGGCTTTGCCACCTTTCATCAGGTAGCTTGGGAGATAAACATATCAGGACACCAGGAGCCCAAGTTCTCCCTGAACTCAGTCCAGGTCATCTGTACACCTTGCATCTGTGTGTTTCAACCAGAATCTGGTGCCACTCACCAGTGGCAGCAGGCCTCAAATGGCACACACAGTGGGAGTATTTTTAATAGTGTCAAGTTACATCATGATGATTAGCCCAATAACATTCAAAGTTCCCTGGGAGCTAAAAATGTAAGAACAGGAAAACCAGCAATGCCAATGAGAAAAGCCAAACCCTACAGTTGTGCTGGAGCTTAAAATATGCTACTCCAAGGACTAGTTCTTGAATACTCTCCTCACAGAAATCTTCCAGCAGGGCCCCACCAGGAGCTGGCTATACTCTGGAAGGATGAATACTCTGTAGTCACAGGGTCAGGGTTGCCTGGTTCACAGCAGTTGCTCACTGAACATCTGCTGAATCAAAGGCAAGCAGAGCGACACTTGCAGAAAATGGGTACTCTCTGCAGCAGTTCTCAACCTGTGGGTCGGAACCCCTGTCACAGGGGTTGCCTAAGACCATTGAAAACCACAGACATTTACATTAGGATTTGTAAGAGTAGCAAATTAGTTATGAAGTAGCAACGAAATAATTTTATAGTTGGGGGTCACTACAACATGAAGAACTGTATTAAAGG